CGCGAAGACGAGCCCTTCCGCCGGCGTGCCTCCCGGGACTGCCGCCCGCGGCCGCCTGCGGAAAAGAATTGCTCCCCGGTCCCCGTTGGCGTCCCGTGCCTCCCATCTGGCTCGACAGCGGCGGCCGGGTCAATGCGACTTGCGTGGTACCAAAACCCGCAGCGGCCCAGGGGGCATTGGGGGCAGCCTGCCGGACCGCCGCTGCACGGGGCTAGGCACCAGAAGATGAGTGGAATTGATGAATTGGGCCGTTGTCCGTGCCTCCCCTCTATACGTCAGAGTGGGACCTACGCCGCGCCGGGAAAGGGGCGCGCCCGGTCCTCGACGGAGCCGCGCGCCCCAAACGACCCAGGCGGCGAGTAGTCGACCTCGAACCTTCGACATGTAGTTGCCCATAGTTAGCGCCCGCCCGCCCCCCCCTCCGTCGCTTCGTAAAAGAAAAAACAAAATAAAACCAAGCAAAAGAGAAAGCGAGGCCAAAAAACGATTGCGTGAACGGCGTCACAAAGCCCGCCGGTTTTGATCGACAATCGTGAGATTGACCGCCGTCGACCAGAGAATGGCAGACGATGCGTCAGCTTGTGCGGCGCTCGCGCCGCGCAGGCTGGCCCATCGAGGGCACTCTCTGGCGCTGTCCGGGCCAAGCGCGGCGCCGCGCATGCCGCGTGCCACTCGCCGTGGCTCGCGGTGCAGCGCCACTGCAGCCTCGAAAACGTCGCGCACAGCGCCAGCATGCTGCCCACCAGGCGGCAGAGTGCTGCACCGGCGTGCAGCGGACGCTGCGGCGCTGCGGCACCGCCTCCCCGCCCTGTCCACGGAGCAGGCGAGCGGCGGCACGGCCTTCCACCAGCTGCGGGAGGTGCGCACTCCTCAAAGGAAGCACAGGATGCTCCCGCAGTTTACGCAGCTTTGTGCAGCGCAGCGCACGGGCCACGCCACACAAAGCCGACCCTCAGTCTGGCCAAAAGGCTGTCTGCGGAAGGCCTGGCAGCGCGTACTCGCCTCCTCCGCGGCCATGCCCTCCGCCCGGGCGAGCGAGGAGCGGGGACACAACCATTTCTGGAATCGTGTGTCCCCTCCCCCCGGCCTTTTTCTTTATTTTCGAACAGCATTTGCATTATGTCGGACGACCACTCCTCGACACCCCGCTCCGCACTCGCGGAGATCTCTCCAGGCCAGCCCTCCTCCTGCAGGGCCGGCGGCGGCGCGCGTTTGGCGTCCGCCGCGTGCACTCCCGACTTCACCACCCGCTACTCTGACGGTGGCACCGCCGTCGCGGGATACTCTCCGTTTGGCTGCTGCTCGCCGCCGTCGCCGTTTGCGGGCGGCACTCAGATTCAGTTTGGCGGCACGCAGTCGGAGGATGACGAGACCGAAGCAGCCGCGACGCAGCTCCTCGGCGGCACACAGCACGAGCCCCTCGAGTCGGCAGAGGGAGAGCCTGAGGAGGAGGAGACCGAGGAGGAGGAGACCGAGGCCGAGGAGGAGCCCGACTTGCCCGACGCGAGCAGCGGAGTGGAGGCGGAGGGGACAGAGGAGGCGGCGGCGGCGGAAGAGGCGGCGGCGGCGGCGGCGGCGGCGGCGACCTCCTCCGGGCCGCAGTCCTCGCCGGAGCGGGCGTGGCTCCTGCGTGAGGTCGAGGCCTTGCGCGGCACGGCTGCGCAGCAGCAGGACGCGATGGCGCGGCAGCAGGACGCGATGGCGCGGCAGCAGGCGCAAATCGCAGAGCTGTCCGCAAAGCTGGCGGCGCTCGAGCAGCCTCGGGCCGACGGCGCGTCTCGCCCGCCTCCGGCGGCGGCACGCCCTCGGCCTGCCGCCAAGCCCTCGTGGCGCCGCCCAGCCGCGCCCGCGCAGCACCGTCGCCGAGGGTCCTCGCCTCTCTGCCAGCTCAGCCGGCGCCGAGCCGCCTCCCTCGCGCTGGCGGGCCGCCGCGGCCGGCCGACGCCACGTTCGGGCAGAGCCCTCTCGCCTCGGCCGCCTCCGCCGCCGAGTCACCCTCTCGCACGCCGCCCGCAAACCGCTCTCCGCCCTCCCCTCTCCGCCGTCCCCCCCGCCGCCCCGCCGCCGGGGCCGGGCTCCGACTCGGCCGCCCGCCGACCCGAGCTGCGCATCGCACTGTC